TAGGAAGTAGTTTGGCTGCAAAAGCGCAAACCTTGCCGTCGTCTTCTCCTCCAAGTGCCACTTGGCAGACCTCGCCGTCGCCGGTTGCCGCGGTAACTGTCCTACTCCTCCGGCCTCCGTTCACTCCCGTTCACTTCCTGTATCTTTGAGTGACAACCCCGACGGACCGGGCAGAAGGACGGACGAATGGAGAGACAGTCACTGCGGCAACCGTGGGCTGGAAGAAGGTCTGTCAGTCAAAATCATTCCGGGCTTGACAATCTGCCCTCTGTCACTTTGATTGACGGCTTGAAAAGGTCATCGCCCGGGGAGCGTGTCGGCGCGACTCCGCTGATGAGTGCGTGACAACATGGCTGACACATGTAGCGTGTTTGCGTGACGATGGAGGAAAAAAAGAGCAAAGTGGTGAGAGGAGAAAAAGTTGGGAGGAGAAAATGGTGATTGTGTAACAGGATTGCTTGTCAGTAGGCACTGTTGGTAGATTGTTGTCCAGTAGTGGTAGTAGAGACTGTTTTGTTGGTAGATTGTTGTCTATTAATGGTAGAAGAGACTGTGGTGGCATGTGGAAGCGTGGCACGCACTTTCGCAGCGTGTTATAAGTCTGAAGTGCATCAACGTCACGATCGTAGCTCATGTGTACTGTTTTAAAATGCTTCCAATTTTTTGCCAGTGCTATCGGTGAATTGCTGGTGAAACAAACTTTGAATAAGAATTTAAAAAAAAAAAACCCAAAACAAAAGAAAAACATAGCGCAACAGCTGTGATCGCAGGCTGCAATTGCAGACTGCTGACCGCTAACAACTTCCGGTGATGCAATTCACGCTCCACCGTATGATTGATTGAAGGTACCTGCTTTTTAATTTAATGTAATTTTTTTAAATACTTTTTTGTGAAAGTGAAACTGATCGTATGCTGAGAGTGCAGCGTACACTAAGACACAAATATATAATATTAATAATACGCGCGCGCGCACACACACACACACACACACACACACACAAATCTTTTTGTTTCCGTTTCCCCATACACCCCATCGCGATCGACTTGGGACCAGTCCGCGGGCTTTTCGGTCGATCGTGATCGGGCAGCCCCGCACGAGAAGATGACGCGAATGATGTGTTTGCGAGGAAAGCGAAAGTTAGCAAGGGGCAAGCCAGGATGCGAGGGAGCCCGTCACGTGGCCCAAAAGGGATGCGTCACTGAAGCAGAGCTGACACCGCTCATCAGGTTACTTTAGCGATGGTGACACACCTGAGCGCCCACCGGCTTCACTCCGTCTGCATTTGCTCGCTATTTGTCTCCTGCGGGCGGGAAATGCCTCCGCCGTGTCCTCATCAAACATTCCAGCCTCGATGCTGCTGCTGCTGCTTACTGGTGTTGAAACTCCAGCACTTTTTACACCACCTTTCTCCCTCTCCGAGGCGCCACCGAAATGTATTCATGTGTGCCTTTCGGTTGTCGAGTTGACGTTGACACAGCTTGCCGCCATCAGATCACACTCGTGCCTTGAGATACGAGTGACAATTTACTCGAAAAGTAAACGAGAACAAGAATGACACCATGTGTTTTCAAAATAACCATACTGCGTTGCCTTATGAACGCCCACTAGCTTAATGCCACCATTTTTATGAAAATCGAGTTGACGTGTTGAAGGACGTTGAAGGACGACAGTTAGCATGAATCGTTTTCAAAGGTTTCAGACGCAACGGATATATGAACACAAAGATAATACGATAAAGGACGCGCGCAACTCTGGCCACGTCAGGGTACTTGTACTCGTGAGGATAAGCGGATCAGATGATGGAAGGATGGATGGATATTTAATTTTATTTCTTTTTTTTTAATGTTGATGCCAACATTTTCCCTTTTACCATAAATGAATATCGGCTCCAAATATTGGTTATCGGCCGCCTTAGCGACGAATAATCGGTATCGGCTTTGCTCTCCGGTTTGCGGTTGACCGTCGTAACTCAATTGCTACCCGGTTGTGTAACAGCATACGCCACGGTAACAGAACTCTTGAACAATTCACTGTGGTCAAGAGGGTTGTCGGAGACTTGAGAGTGATAACGCTTGCTGATCAGAAAACAATTAACAAGACGCACCGCCGATCAATTTCCATTTGCTGAGCTGCAGGACTGTCCCTGTGCTCCCGCGAACACACGCACGCACGCACACTATCTAAGTTTGGAAGCGGCGCAGACGAGTAAATTGGAAAAATAAATTTGCCAGCCGGCCGAGCAATAAACGAGCGTTGGCCGTGATGCCGGCACATGATGAAGAACCGAATACCGGCAGCAGGATGACGACGGAGAAAAGGACGAGCGCGTTATTGATCGCAGAGGACGCTCGTCGGCGCGTGACTACTTTTCAATCTCAGCGTACGTGAGACGCGAATGGATTCAGCTCACATGGTCACAGCATCGCTTCAAGCTGACGAAACGTGCTGCTTAAAAGACTCGTTATCGTATTTCTTTCACTTGACACCGCTTTCTTCTCGGAAGTCACAATATGACGTCACACAGTTAACAATACGGTGTCATGCTGTCATGATATGATGACACACTATATCACAGTGCGACATTTCATTACGATATCATGTCACACCGTGAAACTATGGCACGATGTTAGGCTGCAATGTTTTGCCGGATGGATGCTTGGCTAAAAGAGGCGGCGACTCGCCGCGGCCGCACCCAACACCACCGCGCCGTCGCCATCTCCGCCGCCGCCGCCATCTCCGCGCGCCGCCGCCTCCGCCCGGTCTTTATTTCGATTCTTCTAAAGCGGTTGTGACAGTTTAAATGGCGGTAACCTTTATTGACTGCAAAATGACTTGTTGCTTGTGCTCACTCGACGTGTGGGTGCGTACGTGCGTACTAGTGTCACTTCTTCTGGTAGTTTAAGGTCAGCGCCGGCACATGACAAATGTTCCGTTGTACACTTAAAAGGTACGAACGGACTAACGGACGGACAGGGCTCGTTTTTCAGCCACGCTGACGTAACCCTGATTGTCGACCTCACACCAAATAGCTGAAAACACATATACCCAAACCTTAAAGCAATGTCAACCCCCCGCACCCCCTTACGCACGTTTCCAAGCCTGTGTCCCACTGAGCAATGAGGATTTGCGAATGTAACGAATGTTGATTTTTCATCAGGGTTCATTCAAGGTCAAAAAGGCGTTCGCCAAACAGTTTTTCTTGCGGCCAAGAAATTTTGTTCAAAATTTGGACATCCAGGAGCAACTCCCTTGGTCACATGTCTTGAAACCTTAAAATAGGCTGAATCCCCTTGTTGACTTACCCATGATAGCAACACAGGCACGTATAACCAGCCATGCAACCCTTGGTGATGATGTCAAAGAAATGGATACGGGCGCATACAGACGCACAACTCATGTAGTAACACGAATGTGTTTTTGGCCGGGCTCAAGATGGCCGCCATCGTTCAAAAGGTTGAAGTTGAAAGCAGCGTCGAAACAGAAGACAAGGAAAGCCAAGGTGCCACTGTGGTTTGTGCACACGTCGCATTGCGGAGACTCTCACATTGACTGAACGAATGACTGTTGAACATGAACGAAGGTCCCGTCATGGTTTGAGACAAAGGTGATGGACGGCGGGAGAGTGGGAAGAAGGCGGACACGTGGTCGTCGTAAACACGAAGGCGAAGTGGGAGGGGTGGGGGGTCGGGGGACTGCAATCAGCAATAAAAGCTTGATGGCCGCCAAGGGGAGGGGGCGGCGGTGTATGTGATTCCATATTCCAAATGCATCCCGTCCACACGTCGCCTTGAAATTCCACCCCCAATATCTGCAACGTCCTCACGTCGACGCCGCTGCAGTCAAGCAGGAAGGGGAGGCGGAGCAAACAGGAAGTCCTTCGTTCATGTTCAACAGTCATTCGTTCAGTCAATCACGACGTCATCATCCGTTCGGTCATTTGTTGCTTCATTCATATTTTACTGTGTGTATAGTATTGCATTTGTTTTTGTTTTCTGAATCTATTGAAATGTAAAGACATTTTTTACTGTATGAATTATCATTATGATGATATTTCTGATTTTTGATAAATGTTGGACTTTTAATGTTCATTTTCTTTTATTTACACTTTTGAGTTTTTAGAGTCTGTTTTATTTAATCTCTTTTTAAGATTTTTTATTTTAGCAGTTTTTCATTTGCCCATATTTTTTAAATTATTTTTTCTTGTTTTAATCTGTTTTTTAATTTAAATTGGTAACATTTTTATTGCATTTTTTGTATTTTTGTTTTGGTTATTTTAGTTTGTATTGTTTTCAGTTTATTTTATCTTTTTATTTTAATTATTGATGTGTTAAATTTTCCCATTATACTGTATTTGTTATACAATTCATTCATTATTTTTTCATACTTTAGTGTTTTTCAGTTTTAGTTGTGAATTTAAAGTATTACAATAGTTATTTTATTGCGTTTTTGTTTTACTTTGGATACTTATTTTGGATTTTGTAAAATTTCATCTCCTTTTTTGGGGGGAATTGATTTGGGTTATTTGATTGCACTGCAGTGTTTATTATTTTATTTATTTTCTTTTCTGTTCAGTTTTAATATTTCCTAATCCATCTGTTGTTTTATTCTGGTTTATCTATTTTTCTATTTTGTTTTTTGGAGTTGTATCATTCATGTTTTTTTTTATTTGTTTTAGTTAATCAAGTGTGATTTAAAAAAAAAAAATTAATCTGTACAATTGTATTTTTTCTTAACTTTGTTTTCACAGCTGTAGCTGTTATGAAAGCACTATATAAATCAGGATTAATAGTATTGTATTGTATTTGTATTTTTTAGTTAATCAAGTGTGATTTAAAAAAAAAAAAATTAATCTGTACAATTGTATTTTCTCTTAACTTTGTTTTCACAGCTGTCGCTGTTATGAAAGCACTATAAAAATCAGGATTAATAGTATTGTATTGTATTTGTATTTGATGAACTATGATGCGTTTAGTAATCGTGTGGTGTGTTTTTACTGCAGCACTTCCTGCTGTAATGCTGCTTGCTCGTACCCCAGACCCTCCTTACAACAAGATTTCAACCATGAATAAAGAAATGCGATACACACTAATGTGCTTGACATATCATATAGAACCTTGAAATGTATGGTGAGTATTGGAGAAGTGAAATTAACAACCGAGACGCTTGAGCCTGGTCTTAAATAATCCCAAAATATAATCATAGGAATACGTGACTGATCCGCGGTGTGCCTGCAGAACAATAAAGTTGCTCAAACATCAATGACGTTGACGTGTGGTCTGCACGCTCAGCTCTTCTTCGCCGTGCAATTCTTATGCGCTTGCTGTGACTCGATGCTGACTTGTGAATATAAATGCAAATATGATTGTTTATGGACGAGGAGTGGATGCGGAGGGCGTGGCTCGAACCCACAGTCCTTCGTGCCTCAGAGCGTCCGCTTGCTCCCGCGTCAATCATTCATGGGCCTCATCAATATGGACGACGCACTTAAACCTGACCTTTTGCCATTGTTCATGAGCACCACGTCACCTGAATGACTGGCTTCTGGCATGTGATGTCATCAAGTGATGAGATTAAAAGATCATAGTGCTACCTTGAAAAGGGAATTTAATTGGTTCCCTCATTTATTCTTCTTTTTAATCTCTATCTTAATTCAAACGAAAAGTGAAAACAAGATTTAGCGAAATTGAGATGCCACGTTTGGATTAAATTGATATCAAATTGGAATTCCTTCATTGTCAATTTGACTAGAAACTGAAGTCACACGGTGGTCCTCAAGGCGGCATTTCTTGCCCACTTTTGTTATCCCACATAGCATGTGTGCCCCTCGCTCGCTAACTTAACAAGCCACCATACAAACCGCTATTCATATTTTGAAACTTAACTGTCTGTTAGTGTTGATTATGTTGTTCGTATATTGATGTCCAGCTATAGTAGCAAAGACTGTGTTGGAGGTAGGTTGCTGTCCAGTAGTGTTAGTAGTGATTGTGCTGAAGTTAGATTAGTGTGTCAGATATATGTGATTGTGTGGTGGAGCTTTTGGAGGACCAAGTGGTAAATCTCCCGAAGTCTTACTGGACATGAACAAGAGTTGACTTGCCTGTCGAGAATCGTCGCTAAAGGCATCCGCTCCTAGCTTAAGCCGCGCTAGCTGTGTTATCATCGTTAGCAGCATTGATGCTATCTGCGTCGGCGCTGACGGCTAAGCGGCATTTGAGAGCGCATAAACACGTTTGTCCTTGACGCTCAGGAATAAACAAACAATGTTTTTGTATTCAAGCAGACTCGCACACTCAGGCTACCACATGCTAATGCTGTGGGGCTAAGCTGTCAAAGGCTATTGGATACAATCTCTCTCTCTCTCTCTCTCTCTCTCTCTCTCTCTCTCTCTCTCTCTCTCTCTCTCTCTCTAGCAGTCTGTTAAGTGTATGCCAAAACCAGGTGGCGCTAAACCCATTGAAAATGGATTGAGCTGTATGGTATCATGCTCACAGCCGTGAAGTCACTTTCATACTATTTCATTCAAGACAGAAATTAAATTTTTTTTTCAAATTTTTAAATTATGTGTAATTTTTTTGTCTGTTTTTTTTTTTTTTTAAAGAAGTGAATACACCACCGGTAAAATGGGGTTTGGTTCCCCCAATTCTTTAAAAAAAAAATAGTAATCATTTTTTTTGTTATTGGCAACAAAAGGCATTGATGGACATGTCACGATCAATGGCTAGACCACCACTGGTAAAAACCATGCGAGATGCAAATTCCCCTTGTGTTAACCTTGAAACTCTAAATGATCCCAGCTACTCATTGATCCCATCACACTCTTGTCTTACTTTTATTATAACAGTAAATACATGGAGTTAGAGGTGCACTTATTGTTTGGTGACTTGACAACTAATCGATGATCAAATTTCAATATTTTGGTACTCGGTAAGTCATTTCGAGACCTTGTTTAGTTTAAAACTGTCCAAAAACCCGGAATTTCAGCCTTTGGTGTATTGCATCATCAACACGAGGCTCCCTCCAGTGGCAACAATGCTCAAGATGGCTAGTGCTTCATTTGTAAAAGAAACAAAAGAGAATCTCTGAAGACACAAACTTGCATTTTTTTGCATTTTTCACGGAGACGGCATATCAAGCAATTGGAGAAAAATCATCCAAAATTTTCAGATCGCCAGAAAGCTGCCAATCATTCAAGTAATCACCTCAGTAATATGAATGGATTTTCAAAATCTAATTCCGTAGGTTATGTCTTTCTGACTGTTATTGATCAAATTGTGTGAAATTCATGATTTGATGTCGTGCAAATAACCACAAATTCAATTTTGTATGAGCATTTCTAAAATATGCTGCCATGTCTTGCTAATAGCCACGTGGGGACATATTAGCATGCTAACTTGGGATTGGCGTTCATGTTGTGATGTCATGCTAATAGCCATTCGTGCTATATTAGCATGCCGACTTAAGAGCTTGCCTTAACAAACCGTTTTTCTGGACCTGAGTGTGTGGTACTCAGGTGTGTGTAATTGTGTGTGTGCATGTGATACAAGCGGGTGGACGGACAGTCCTGGGTGCAGGGTCAGCACGGTGAGCCAGGTGTGTACATGATGGATGGATCCGGGTCTTGACAGGAAATTGAAAAAAGATCAGCATCCAGCTCACCTCCACTCTCTCTGCACTTTGTCACGTGTGTGTGTGTGTGTGTGCATGTGTATGTGTGTTTGTCTGTGAGTGTGTGTGTTTGTGTGTGCTGATTTTAAGATTATCCCCGCCGGTAGACTATGATGGAATGTTCTCTAATCAAGTGTGTGTGTGTGCGTGTGCGTGTGCGTGTGCGTGTGCGTGTGTGTGTGTGTGTGTAAATATTCATTCTTCTATTTTATTGAAGAGGTGTAAAAAAGTGAATGTATTTCCACTGCTTGACTTTTTCCACATTTCGCTGTTATTCCAAAGTACAATTTATGTCAAGGTCGAGTTAAATGCGAACATTTCCATATTGCAGTAAGCTTTAGCACAAAATGGTAAAAATATGTCAAAAAAGCCTACTAGAAAAGCTGAACTTTACTCAGGGTTAATTCAAGCCACTTTACGGCAAATGCATTTAACATGAGTTTGAATGTTTTTGGTTCTTTTTGAACACAGCCACATGCCCAGCGATAAAAGGGTGTTCACACGTGCAACCTCTTTTATATTTTTACTTTACCTCTCCAAAAAATATTTAAAAAGCAGCTGTTGTGAAAGCGCGATATAAATCAGCATGTATTGTATTGTATTAAAAATATTAATTTAATTCCACAGGTTATGTAGATCATGTCACACTAATAGTGAAAAGACTTTTGAAATTATTTAAAAAGGGCTGCATCTCAGGATTATTTTAATGACTTATTCATCAATTTATCAGATTAAAAACAATTAACTTCCGCTCGCATGGAGGATGACAGAAATTGGTGAATATTTATTATTGAGTGGCTAAAATTCAGAGAATTCGGGCAACTTCAATTTGAACAAGTTATCCAGAAATGATGACAAATTACTCATTTATCGTTGCATCTCTAGTTTTATCTTCGTCTTTGAGCAGGGGTGTGTGGACTTTCGATATCCATTGTATGCCAGGCACCTTGTATTTAGTTGTATTTAGTTTTGGTTTTAATACAAAGTTTTGAAGCTTGTTTGGTACCAAGAGAAATGAAAACCAAATGAAACACTTCGACCCATACTACTCGACAACAATCTTCCCACATCACATTCACGACAAACACGGCTGGACAACAATAAACCCAACACACAGTCGCTTCTAACAGAACTAAACAACAATCTACTCGCACTTCAATCACAACTACCGCAACTGGACATCAATCTACCCACAACTAATGACACTGGACAACAATCGACCTTCAACACAGATGCTACGGGACATCAATCTACCCTCCATTCAGTTATTACTATCAGTACGAGATGTAAATCTACCTTCAACACAGTTATTACTGCCATAATCATATTATCGGTCTATTCATATTACAGTCACTATCAATAAATTAATTGATTCTATGAATATTGGATAGTTGCAACCCTCGAGTAACGTCATGGTTCAAAAAAAAAAAAAATCAATTTAAATCGGAAACACGATGTCGTTGGGCAAAAAAAAAAAAAACATTTTAAGGCCATATCGCCCAGTCCAAGTCAAAGAACAAAGTTTAGTTTCAAGACAAACTTAAAAAGTGGCTTAGAGCTAATGCATGCAGGTATGCGCGCACACACACACACACACACACACACACGCACACACACACACACACACACACAC